CGATAATGAACAGAAAGTAATATTAATGCAGACAGGGAGTATATTATATTTTCTATGCTATATTATATTTTTTTTTCTTTATATGCTCTATATTGTTAGAATTAAAATGGTTCCGGCTGCAAATGGGTAATTTTGGAGCACCTTTTAGAACAGAATAACATTTTTGAAGAGTGATCCGAACGACTAGTGCTTTTTTTTGAGATGTTAGAGAGATTAGTTTACTAAACAATGTCAACGAAATTTTGTTAAAAAATGTAGTCGAACTGACACGACGTTGAAAATGTTGCGTCGTATTTTGTTAAGTTATATAGAATTGGAAATTATTAGAATTTATGAATTACATAGAAAATTGGAAAAAGCACAGATGGTGATGTAAACTAGTATTTTAATACTCCTAACTGTGTAATTAAATCAAATGCTTTGAACCTCGTACCTTCAAAATTTTAACTTCACAACGTTATATTTAATTACAGAGTTATGTGATAAATAATAACATTCAGGTTATCGAAGTTTCAAAGGGTCATCAATTCACGAGAAGAAACATTTTATCCATAAATTAAAGTTGAAAAACCGATTTTTCGCCAAAAATTACCTAGCTTTAGATCACTATACGCAGTAACTGGTTCCACTGCAATACAAAGTGGATGAAATATCGTGTTATCCAGGCCAGGGGATGATTCTACGTGCGAACATAAGTCGAAAAAACGAATAACATTTTTTCATTTAAGACTGCGTTTTCGAGAAAAAATGGATCGAAAAAATAATACTATCGAATAGGAAATCAAGTGGCGCGTCTGGACATCACATACCAATTCTACTTCTCGTCATAGCCACAAGCCAGATAAACCTGACGAATCTTTAAACGCATTTAACGTAATTAAATTTATTAAACTTAAATGAAAAAATGTTACTGTTTTTTTTCGACCTATTTCTCCATGTAGAATTATCTCCTTGTATGGGAGGAGGGGGGGGGGGAGTAATTTCGTTCTTTTACATTAAATTCAAACAGATCAATTTTTAACTAGTTTTTATCTTCAATCAATGATATAATTACCCTCGTTATCAACAACCTTTTGCCATCTAGCGAGCAAATTTTCAATGCCGAATCGATAAAAAAATCACTTGGTTTTCGAGAAAAATATCCGGAGATGGCATTTTGGACATCGTCCAAATTTTTTGCCACTTAGAAAATGTTGCAGCGATCGGAATAAATGGAAATCTGATGGCGCAATATCCGACGAATATGGTTGGCGAAGCAATATCTCCCACCCTAATTCATTAATTTTATCCATGGTACGTCGCTGAAGCGATAAGTTGCATGTGGCGGATCGGTTAGCTTTGTTTTCTTTGGACAGATCATGCGGAAGCCAAACTCCTACTTTGCTTACTTTACCAATCTGCTGCGAATGTTCTTGAATGATCGACCAAGGTTGGTTAACACGTTCTGTGCCGAGCTTTTTTTACTCGAATCTTCACACTTTGATATTTTACTAAAACTTGATGTATTACGTGCAATTATTAATTCTCGTACACATAACAACGTAACAAAAACTTATCAACGCCCATTCTTGCGGTGGAAATTGATTCTTCGGTTCTAAATTTCTTGTAAACAATTTGTTCAGTTCATTAAGTAAACATGCAAGCGTGTACCATCGATGGTACACGTGGCACGGAACGTGTTAAGAGTGTTCGACAGTTCCTCAATTGTCTGACACGGATATGCTTCTACTTCCGCCCTTAACATGTCATCGTCTAAAGTTGTTGGTCTTCCTGACCGATGCGAGTCTCTCTCTCTCTCTCTCTCTCTCTCTCTCTCTCTCGGAAAGATCAAAATTACCGGATTTGAACTTAAAAAACCACCTTTCGCATTTTCGAACGTCTGATGCCCTTGGATAAACATCGCAAACGTTTTCGGTAGCAACTGTTGCGTTGCCACCCTTGTGAAACTCAAAAAGCATACAATGCCGAATACGTACCTCTTCTGGTATTTGGCTGGCCATTTAACCATAAATAGCAAAAAATTTTAAGATTTAATTATTTACGAGAAAACAAGTCACTCTAACCTTAAAATGTCTTTGGCACGACTTAGAAGTACACGATGAGCTGATAAGTGACAAACGAATGTCGACATGCACAGAAACGACATTACTTTTCGGTTCCCCTACTATTATTTATTCCGCGTTTCTTTCAATAGCACAGTTCATTAGCTCTAAATATTTATCTGATGCGTCAATATCAAATAGTAACAACATTTGAAAGAATTAGAAAATTGTATTCTATTATTTGTAACTATTTCATTCTACTATTTATAATTAAAGAAAGAAAGAAACGTTTACATAGCACGCTGTGTTTTGAAAGCAACGCGGGCAATTTTAATTTTACATAAATATCCGTAGTCTATTAATTACAGATCTTAGCTCAAATTCAAGAAGAAAGCCATTTTCAAAACTTAGATGCATGAGCTTCGAGTACGCAAAAAGTTCTCAAACAACCCTTAAAATTAAGAAAAAAGTTAAATAAAAATTCGCATCGAGTATGCATAGCAGATTCGTAGCAAAAGCTATTAAAAAATTCTCGGACAACCCTTAAAATTAAAATGAGAAGCGAAATTGAAATTCGCTTTAAGTACACGATGAGCTGATAAATGACAAACGAATGTCGACGTGTACAGAAACGACATTACTCTCCGGCCCCCCTAATACTACGACTTTTCAGCCACCATGTATAAACGTTCGAGGATCACCAGCGTGAAAGAGTTATGCGAATCCGAAACTTGGTTTTTAGCTCGATACGTCGTTTATGCGACGAGTAGCGCGACGTGTAGAGCGACCGATCGCTTTTCGATGTCCAAGGTAGCCCATTCGGGACGAGTTTCGAGTAGTCGTCGAGTCCACTCGGTCCGCGGCGCAGTCCGAGTGCATCCGGATCGCGCTATCATGCAAATCGAGCCTAATGGCAGCGGACACCGTTCGGATCCGGCGAAATTTCGATCGCGATTTTTCCTCCCGGCGGATCGGATCGACCGGTCGATCGACGCCCGGCGGGTCGAGTTACGGCTCGTTTGACCCGGCGCGATCATTAATTCGGCTCGTCTTAAGCCCCGGGGCTTCGTTAAGCTCACGCTCGCGATCCCGCTTGTTGATCGAGTGACCGATGAACCGTGCCCCGGCGAGCTTAAGCGACCTTCTCGTCGCAAAACTCTCGCCGCTCGATTTCTCGAGAAGCGCCGGGGGATATGCGTGCTGTTGATTTTCGGCCGGGTAAAAACGGTTCGTTGGATCGCGATGCTTCGACCGGCCGAAACAATGCCGCGAACTATGATACACGCCGGATTCGTTCGAACGACAAACAGATCGTACAGATTTCTTAATTGAGACTCGTGCGAAGCGTTCAAACGGGAGATGACATTTGGCAATTTTTTTGTAACGTAAGATCTTGACGAAATTTATCGCCGCTTGGTATATATATTTTTTAATATTTCAAGATACAAAATGTTTTTTTTCGTTACATTTTATCGACTCTTAACGAAATAATATGTGTTCTTTCTTATGGATCGCTCCGTCGACGGCGCACAGTCTAGCATTCTTTTCCTTTGATTTGGGACGAAAAATCAAACGACTTTTTCTTCGTAATATTAATAAAAATAGTCGCGTAAGCGACGTGTGTGAATTAACATCCTTCATAATAATAATTATTTAGACTATGTTTATTGCACAATTTTTGTTGTATCTATTTTTACTTAAATATTTTTTAAATATTAAAAATAATATTTTTAGTACATTAAAAAGATATTTTTAAAGTCATGTAGATAAACCATGTGATATGAGATTGGAAAAATAAAGTGTACCGTAGGGATTCGAAACCCCCACAATTTTTTCTTCCTTTTAAATCGTATTTTCTACGCTAAAAAATTCCTTGTTCCAATGTAATAACGTTTAAAATTACTTAATCTATCTTTGCCGTCAACTCAACAAGTACAACATTCTTCCTCATAGCAAAAACGTCAACAAATTCGGTTTCCATTCTTTTTTTTACAATGATACAACCGGACGAAAAACCTGAGAAAAATTGATATTGTTTGTGATAGCATAGATGTTTGCTTGTGATAGTATCTTATCAGAGAATCAATATAAAAATTTACCATACTTTTGTTTTCGAGAAATCTCCAATTTTTCGATCTTTTTTTGCTCGGTTTTCCATATTTTATAATTACAGTATGCAATCGAAAAATGTGAAAAAATTCTACAATATGCAGCTTGATCTCCAAAATAAGCCACATTTTTTTCAAAACTTTGAAGAGCCACTGAAGGGGAGAAATGGACAGAAAAGCGCGCAATTTAATTTACCTTGTAACTATCCTCACGGACAAGTTACACATTTTACATAGATGCATTTTTCTTGGCCAGCTATCGAATAGTATAATAGTCATTAAAAAACCTCTGAGCTCAATTTTGACCATCGCAATCGGCAAGGCTCTTTATGACAAAAATCATTTTCCTCTGTTAAAAGCCGCGTATCTCCGACAATTTTGCATTTTTTTAAAGATGAGCTCAGTTCGTACGACGCGTAACACTATTACGAAGAAAATGTAGTTTGATTTTTCGTTCTAAATCGAACGAAAAAAAAAAATGCTAGACTGTCCCGTCGACGGGGCGATCTATAATTTCATTTAATTTCATTAAAAGTCGATAAAATCTAGACGAAAGTCTAAGCCATTTGGCACATAAGACATCCTGCGCATACGAAACCGTTCTTTTTCCATAAATTAGTGTTCAATTATTTCCGATGTACCAAAATCACCGACGCAATCAACCTATTTCCATCTACGAAGAACAATCACATTTTGCACAAATGTCCTCGTCGTATTTGTGCAGCCGCGTGCGCTCGATGTTCATGGCACAGCCTTCGGCAACCAGCTGACTGGTGCCGAAAGCCGAATAGACGAGCGTGCGATGGTAAATAAATAAAGAAAAAAAAAACGTGAGAATGTAAAGTTTTACCCATACTGATTCCAGAGCTGGACGGGTCCTCGTTCTTTGCGCCCCAGCTTCCGGCGAGATTCAGCGCCAGCAGAGGCCTCTCCTTGAGCAGCTCGGCGACCGAGGCCAGACCCTCGCAGCCGCATCCCAAATGGGGCAAGTGCAGCGCCTGCACTTGAACGCAGCCGCGGAGCGCGTCGCAGACCCGGGACACTTGCTCGCCGGACAGATTCATGTCGAGGACCAGCCGGGCCAAACTGCTCGACGCGTGGCTCAGTCCTCGGCAAAGGGCGTTCACCACGCACTCCAGCCTGAAACAAACCGATCGATCCCTTTGTTTGTTACAAATGCCTCGGTTGCTGGCCGGCGGGTGTTGCTGTTGTCGCGCGGGACCGCTCTCTGATCTGACGCGCGCGAGCGCTAATTGCGACTCACCGACACCCCGATTTCATTTAATCGGACCCGATCACGAGCCCCTCTGCGACGATCGACGCGATTTTGTTGTTGTTTCGAATAAAGCGGCGCCTCGGTTCGTGGAACTAATTGCGGGGACCGGAGCGTTTCGATTAGGGGACGTTTATTTAGGTGCGGTGCCGGGGTTAATTTTTGATGATTTTCACTGCCGCGGAACCGCGAATGTCTGATCGAAGTTCTACTGCCCTTTGCTTAACGATTGAAATTACCGTGAAGGGCGTCGAAATTATCTTTTCGGGCATTTATTATAATTAGACTGCGGATTTTATGCATTTATGGCAAATATTGAGTAGGGTCATATATAGGCTTGAACTTATTAAAATGATTAAAGATGGAAAACAACTTGTGCTTCATTCCTGTGTCTTGCAATTTTTATTTTGCATAAAAACCCATAATCTGCTTA